ACATGTGGGCTGGCAAATGATGGGAGATGGCTATGGTAAAGGAAAGCGGTGTAGAATTTAAAATTCATTGCATATAATCTATGAGCTGTATGCTGTGCAGGCAAATGAAGAGAGACTATGGTGAAAATATAAACCAATTTTGAGCACAGACAGACCTAAAACAGGGCTACAAAAGCATGAAAAATGGAATGCTAACTTGTGCCTTGTCTGATGCAATGCAGATGTAAAGTAGTAAAATAAAACTCCTGGATTCCAAATAGTCTACTCTAGTACTTATTCTCAAAATCCAGCTTTTCATAATCAGAAGACACTCTTTTAAAAGCAGCTGCATCTGAAATCATAGCCAGTAAAATATTTCAGAAGAAATATGAAACACTCATCTCTTAGGGTTAAAGAAAAAGGGTCAAATGATATTTCTTCATCTCTTAACACGTAGGAAGGGGCTTGCAAAGAAGATTTGTAAATATGACTTACCCTAAATTATGCATAGTGAACCTTTCCCAACACTGTAAGAATTTACATAATTTAAAGATTTGTGTATATATATATATATTTTTTTTTAGGAAAATGTTTTATTATACTTTAAGTTTTAGGGTACATGGGTACAACGTGCGGGTTTGTTACATATGTATACATGTGCCATGTTGATGTGCTGCACCCATTAACTCGTCATTTACATTAGGTATATCTCCTAATGCTATCCCTCCCCCCCAAGATATGAATATATTTTTTATAACTTACAGATTCTTTTCAGGCCCTTGAAAACCTAGTAATTTTCTTATCGGTTAAGATTTGTGTAATACCACTACCCTCACATGAACTACTCCTCCACACCCAGCCTTGTAGGGAAGCATAATTTTTTTTTTTTTTTTTTTTTTGAGATTGAGTCTCACTCTGTCGCCCAGGCTGCAGTGCAATGGCACGATCTCGGCTCACTGCAACCTCCGCCTCCTGGGTTCAAGCGATTCTCCTGCCTCAGCCTCCCTAGTAGCTGGGATTACAGGCATGCGCCACCATGCCCAGCTAATTTTATATTTTTAGTAGACACGGGGTTTCACCATGTTTGCCAGGCTGGTCTCGAACTCCTGACCTCAGGTGATCCTCCTGCCTCAGCCTCCCAAAGTGCTGGGATTCCAGGCATGAGTCTGGTCTGTCTCCTGTTTCTAACAGTTGTATCTTTATCCTTGATTCCCCCTCACACCTGTTCTGGGCATCTGAGACGTCATTACCTCAATCAGTCCTTCTTGCTGCTTCTCTTCCCTGCTGTCTTCACTCTTGCCCCTTCACTAACTCCTTCTAACATCTGCCTAACAAACTTTGGTCTGTCCAATCACGTACATGAAACAAAAACAAAACCCAACTTTCATTCAAACCAAAATCCTGTTTCTATTTTTTGAAATGGACAACTTTATGAAAAGAATGATCTATAAAATTTAGCTGCCTCCATTTTCTTCTTATAAATTCTTCATTCCTAACAATCTGGTTTATAGTTAAACTGCTCACCAGAAGATTATGCAAATGACATCCCGTTTGCCAAACTCCATTGATCTTCCTATAATCATATCTGACATCACTGGTCATTTCCTTATCTCAACATTGTATCTTCCTTAGCTCTGAGACATTTTCAGACCTCTCTTCTCTATGCCTCTTTCATGCCTCTTCCAGCTTTTCCAAAGTTCTAAAGAGACACCCACTACATACTAGATTTTAAAACCTTTCTGAGTACTTGCCTTAAGTATGCAAGGCACTATGCTGTGGAGACAAAGCAGCTTTTAAGAGGGGTCTAACCAAGCAGGCTGGGTAATAGGGTTTGGCTGCCCAGGGCCAAGCTTAGGCAAATAACAGAAAAGGGCAAAGGGTAAGTGTAATTTCAGATCATTCGACAGCACTAAAATTTAGGTCAGAAGACCCAAATTCAGTTGACAAAATGAAGTACAGGAATAGCACCCAAACAGGGGACAGGTGAGGTAACAAATGGGGAAAGAGCTAGGAGGGAGGAGGGCTCTTGCCAGATGTGAACGAAGCTGAACTTGTCCTCAGTGGGCCTATCTATGTCACCAGACTGACTTAAGAGTAAAGTCAAAGAAGACCACAAAAAGTAAAATAAAATAGGGTGCTTGTTCTCATATCATGCCTCAGCGTTTTCTGTGAAATGTGCATAATGATAGTATCTGCCTCACAGGATTAATTGAAACAATATATGCAAAGAACTAAACCCTGGCCTGACAGGTAACAAATGTTAGCTATCATTATTAATATTCTATCCTCTAAGCTATTTAACATAAAGCTTAAGTAAATATAATTAAATCATTCCAGAATCAAATCTAATTTACTTCTTAAGTATTTAGCATACTCAAAAGTACCCCGTATTAGTTAATACTGTAACAGACCATTTAAAATAGGATATAAACTTGGGTGTAAGACTCAAGGGGAATTTTCTCCTTGCTGAGCCACTAAAACAACTCTTCACACTGATCACCAAAAGCCTATTTTCAGGAGTTTAGGATCCCTTTTTAGCTTCTTTTTAACTACTTTCCAACCTCTCAATACTTTCTTGCCCTTTTGATTCTAAGATGGCATAGCCTTTAAAGCAGGCTCCCCTTCTTCCGGCTGTCTTTTGAAGTCTAGTATTTCTTAGGTTCACTCCTGCTTTTTCCTCCTTTTCAAAACCTTTCCAATATGTGACACTACCTTAGTGTACCATTAGTGGCTTAAATGGTATCCTGGTTCCTACTTTCTCCTAATCTTAGTCTGTCCTTCATGCTGCCACCAGAATTTTTTTTTTTAATGCCAAATGTTTGTGAAAAGACCTCCATTATCTCCTGTTGTCTGTAAGAAAAAGCCCTAAACGTCAGCATGCCACACAAGGCCCTTCATTTTGGCCCCAACCTGTCCCTCCAACCTCATCTCATTTTGCTCCACCTGCTCACCCACAGCTCCAGCCACAGGGAAATGTTTGCCATTACTCAGATAACAGCATGACTTTTCACAAATCTCTTGCCTTTCCACATTCTTCTTCCGTGAATGCCGTTTTCTCCTGTTCCCAACAATGTTCTGGTTTAGCCCCTTTCTCTATCAAGCATTTATCATACTGTATTTTATTATTTTATTTTATTATTATTTGAGATGGAATCTTGCCGTGTCACCCAGGCTGGAGTGCAGTGGCGCAATCTCTGCTCACTGCAACCTCTACCTCTCGGGTTCAAGCGACTCTCCTGCCTCAGTCTCCTGAATAGCTGGAACTACTGGCATGCACCACGATGTCTGGCTAATTTTTTTTTTTTTTTTTTTTTTATCCTTAGTAGAGATGGGCTTTTGCCATGTTGGCCAGGCTGGTGTTGAACTCCTGACTTCAAGTGATCTGCCTGCCTCGGGCTCCCAAAGTGCTAGGATTACAGGCATGAGCCACTGCACCCGGCCCACGCTGCATTTTAAGTATCTGTTTACATGTCTATTTCCCCAGGAAAATAGAAGCATCTCAGGTACAGGAAAATGTCCTTTTCTTCTTTATAGCTCCAGAATCTAGTATATCAAGCAAATGTTCAATACATAGTCATTGAACTGTGAGCAATCAGCAAACGTTAAAATGATTTTTAAAAAACGATTCGCAGTTTTACAATTTCTCATTAGGTGGAACTGAAAGAAAAAAGATGCAAACGAAACACTCCAACTCAAATCTCAGGATTAATAACATGGTTATTTTGAAGGACCAGAAGACACCTAAAGGACGGCAGGGCAGAACACTTAACATCTGGAACTCCAAAGTCGTATGATCACGGCCGTGGATATACATAACATACATGGCCTTATAATTTCCCTCTCTCTCTCAAATCCTTCCACGGCTTTTTAAAGACAAAGCCTCACCCTTAATCTTGCCTACAAAGGCTGCGTAAAAAACTTGTAGCTAGGTCCCATGATGCATGCCTGTAGTTCCAACTACTCGGGAGGCTGCAGCAGGATAATCGCTTGAGCCCAGGAGTTCAACGCAGGCCTGGGCAACACAGCTAAACCCTACCATTATTTAAAACAAACAAACAAACAAAAACAACAACAAAAACCACTTGCCTCCATCTACTTACAACCTCATCTCACAGTACTCTCCACTTTACTTTCTGAACTTTAGCCAGACTTAGGCCTTTTTTCCAGTACCGTTTTTGTACAAGCAGATCTGCACGTAATGTTGTTTTAAATACCCTACTACCCCAAACTAGTTCGCTCTTATCCTTTGGCTATCAGTCCAAAGATTCCTTAAGGTGTCTCCATCCTGTGGTAGCAGACTATAAGTCTGTTTTATTACATTATATTTGAACAATACAGTATGAACAATACAGTATAGGGTTATGACCATGGATTCTAGACTCATAAATACGTCCTTAGGCATATTTATTTAACCTCTTCATGTCTCGGTTTCTTCACCTGTCAATTGTACTCGTAAGGTTATTGAAAAGATTAAAGGTGATAAAGGATGTAAGCACTTAGAATTGTGTTGATATGCAGTTCAAAGAGCCCAACACAAGTCGGTCATGATCACATTTACTTAATTTGTAGTCTCTATCATCCCTTCCCTCCCCTCCAGCCCCCGGAGTACCCATGCTCCTCTAGCCCAGAGGCCACACCAGCCTGGTCCTTTTTTGTATTCCTAGCCTCAGCACAGGGTTCGGAACATACCAGAATAATACGTATTTAAAAAATGACAAAAGCCTTGTGTCCCAATTTTGCTTCATTAGCCAAACGATCTCAAGCAAATCACTCCAATCACCTATGCCTCGTTTACCCTTCTGTGAAATGTAATAGCTACCTCAGAGAGGTTTTGTGTTAAATAAGGCGATGTACCTACAAAAAGCACACTGCACATCTTAAAATGCCGTACAGACGGTAGATGTTTATTAATAAACCAGAGTCCGTGTCTTCCCTCCCCTCAGGCACGTCTCGTCCCGACCCCTCCCTCCTCCCAGCCCACACCCTTACTGCGCCCTTGGCCCTCGGTCCCTGGGGATTGCAAGCGTGGGAGCCTCGGCCCCGCGCAGCTCCCTCCAGCGTCCCGCGCCCTCCTTCCTTCCTCGCCCGGACGGACGCACTTCCGGCGGATGTGGGGGGGCAGCCCTCGGAAACGGAAGTGAGCAGCGGGGTCGACTGACGGTAACTGGGCAGAGAGGCTGTTCGCAGAGCTGCTGAAGATGGTGAGTGGGTACCCGGGCGGCCAGAGTTCCACGCGGGCTCGGGACCGTGGCTCGGCAGAAACACGCAGTAGCCTCTCAACCCGTCCCCGGGTGGCGGCGGCGGCGGCAGCGTGGAGCTGACGCCGGCCCTGGGGCGCCATAATCTGTCGAGTCACGGGGTTTGGGTGGGTCGTGACTGTCGCCGGGACCCGGCTGCGGCACTGGTCCCACTAGCAGCGGTTCGGCTTCATCCTGCTCCTCTTAGCTCGGTTTGCGCCCTTCCATCCCTTAGACCCCAGCAGGCCCAGACCTCCTCCCCTTACTTGGCGCAGAAGTGGAAAAGGCAGCCTCGAAAGTGCAACGTTCTGTGGGGTGGCGCCGCCGACCCTTTCCTTGAGGGGTAACCTCTGAGAGCCCAGAGTCCTCAGACTCCTCATCTCCCCCAGTTCCCGCCCTTGTAACTGCCTGGTAACCAACCCACAACTGTAGGTCGCATTTGTGTAATGCAGCTTTGCTCTACAAACTTTTTTGAGAGCTTGTAGTGTGCTAGGTGTTAGAGGGGGAAAAAACCAGACAGTTGCTATTCTCCGTTTGTCATTATTGTTAGTACATCTCCTCCCTCCCTCTCCTCCCCACCACTTTCTCTTTCTTTTTAACTTAGAAATTGTAATGTTTGAGAAGAATACTGAGTCACCATTGCCACAGACTCTGATATCGGTACTGCTGGTAGGCCATCCATCCAAATCTAGAAAGTTTCTGTTGGTAAATACTGCTAATCATTGTTTAAAAAGTTTTATAGGCACTCTCAAATGTAACTAATAGTTAGGTTTTCGTAGATTTGCCTTTCTCGGCTCCTTCCTTTATTAGAAACAGTGAGTACTAATCCTGATGTTTTACAGAAGGAAATTGGAAAAAATGACGATAATCCAGAAGTCAGAATTCACCTTTCCTTTGTGCATTGAAACCTTCTGTCACTTTACAATAAAGCAGTCCAGAAGGAGGAGAATGTTCATATAGGGAAGTAATAGAAGATACATTTGAAAAGCAACAATCACACGGCTCTGCTGCAGGTCCCCAACCTGTGGTGGTTCAACAATCTTCTGACTTTATGGTGGTGTGAAATCCATACACAGTCAGTAGAGGCCATATTTGAGTACCCATGCAGCCATTCTGTTTTTCACTTTCAGTACAGTATTCAATAAATTACATGAAATAACCCAATACTTTTTAATAAAGTAGGCTTTGTGTTAGATGATTTTGGCCAACTGTAGGCTAGTGTAAGTGTTCTGAGCACGTTTAAGGTAGGCTAGGCTAAAGCGTAATATTTAGTAGGTTGGGTGTGTTAAATGTGTTTTTGACTTTTGATATTTTCCATTTAAGATGGGTTTATTGGGAATTAACCCCATCGTAAATCAAGGAGCATGTGTAGTCCTGGTAGGAGTTCAACTCCTTGGTGCAGATGAGTAAACAAGGCCAGAGAGGTTGGTGCTTTGCTGGCAGTCACAAAGTAGGTTAGTGACAGTCCACACTGGAGTCCAGATTCTTTTCCTTGTCCATCATGGCTTCTTGTATGTAGGGGAGTTGGAACCAATTATGCAGGTTCTTTAGGTCCAGGCTAAGGAGTCTGAACTGTGTGCTTCACACATTGATGAGCCAGCAAAGATTTTATAGCAGTTTTGTTGGAGGAGGTTTTGTGCTTGAGGAAAACCTTGATATGCAGAACTGGAAAATGGGTGAGTCTAAAGGCAACAAGACCCAGTAGAATGCTGTTGAAGTTATACTTGCGTGATAGGCTAGGCAAGAGTGGTGTAATGAAGAAACCCTGAAAAGGATAAAATACCTGACCAAACCAGATATACAAACGAATTCAGAAATAGTTCAAAGCTGACTTCTCACAATATTTTCTCCTAGAATAATATAAAATTTGATACTAAACTACCTGTAGCTGTTTTACATTTTTCTACAGAATCGCAGGGATATTGGACTTGAGCAACAAGTGATTTAAAGTTAGCATCTTGGGCCATGCATGGTAGCTGACACCTGTAATTCCGGCACTTTGTGGGGTGCTGAGGCAGGAAGATCGCTTGAGCACAGGAGTTCAAGACTAGCCTGGCCAGCATCGTTGAGACCTTATCGCCACAAAAAATAAAAAAATTAGCCAGGCGTGGTGTTGCATGCTTGTAGTCCCAGCTACTTGAGAGGCTGAGGCAGGAGGATTGCTTGAACCCGGGAAGTCTAGGCTGCAGTTAACCGTGATTGCTCGACTGTATTCCAGCCTGGATGATAGAGCAAGACCCTATCTGAAAAAGTAAATAAATAAATAAAGTTAGCATCTCATGCTTTGCCTGTTGTAACACCATGTTTTCTTTGCTTGTTTAATGTATCTTCATAAGATGAAGCCCTGGGAGGTAGACATGTATCTTCAGTATCTAGCGGAGTACCTGACACATAATAGACGGCTAATAAATACCTGGTGATTGTGCATTTCACAGTAGTGTAGGGTAATAATACGCCATACCGAATGCACTGTCTTTTTTGTTTTGTTTTATACTGTCCTGATTAGATACACATAGTTTTTATAGGTAGTGCCATCTTCATATAGAAACCAAACATTTTCTGAAATTCCCTTTTTTCCCCAGCTTCTCTGACTACTTTTGTTTAGCCATCCTGTCTGTTAATCCCATTTCTTTGTTGTTCTTTCTTGTCTTCAAGGAATAGTGTTCCTGAGGATGCTGTCCTCAACTTTTTTATTCTGTGTTAAACACTCTAACCTAAGGGAGAGGTTTTTCCAGTGGAAACAAATTCAGTCATGCCATAACCTTTCAGAGGCTGTTGGTTTCGGAATAAAACCCACATTTCTTTGCATGTAAGACATTGCACTTTTGTATTTCATCAGCCTTTACTTCTGCCTCACTGGAAACATACATTTAGCCAGTCATCTCAAACTGCCTGAAGTGTGTTCATTTATATTTTCATAGCTTTATTCATGTTATTTTTTCCTGGAATGCCTTTCAAAGTGACAGCATTCAGAGATCACCTCGGGAATCCTTCCCACTCTTACATTTGTTATTGCATTGTACCATGTGTGTCTGTCTCTATCATATCATAATGTTTAAGGCTTGCTGTAATTGTCTAGTCTGTGGACTCTTTGAGGGACTCTTATTTTTCTGTCTCCTACTTAAACAATATTTTTGACATAGCTGCTTAGGTGTGTGTTTAAATTTTTTTCTATTTAATAATGTTTTTTATTTGTGTTGTAGAATGCCAGGGGACTTGGATCTGAGCTCAAGGACAGTATTCCAGTTACTGAACTTTCAGCGAGTGGACCTTTTGAAAGTCATGATCTTCTTCGGAAAGGGTATATGGGGGAATTACGACTTTGATTTTGTTATGTTTCTGTGAATTATTTTTCACAATATTCTTTAAGTATTTCGATAGGCTATACGTGTGTATTTAGTTGGCAGATGGCAAGTAATATACCTTACGTGGGGTGCAGAGGGGAAGAGGCTTAGATATTTTCTGTGGTGGAAGAAGTATCTCATCAAAGTAGTAGGTTCTCAACGTAGGGCATCCTCCTAGACAGTGGTGCCCATTAGCATGATTTGGTAGGATTCTTTTTATTTATTTTTTTACTACTGACAACTTAGCCATTTGCCTTCTTGTCTTAACTATTAGAGTAATTCGCTTTTCTTTGGGAGGCGCTAGAACATAGCAGTTGAGAGATTAAACTCTGGATTCAGTCGGCCTGGGTTTGGATCCTGACTCTGCTATTTACTAGATGTGTGCCTTTGGACAAATCACATAGTTAATGCCTCGGTGTCCTTATAGATAAAATAGGCCTAATAACTATTAGTCTATTATCTTATTTTGAGGAATAAACATACATTCATTAAATTTCTTCTAGATGTAGCACCAGATTTTGACAGGTTTTCCCTAGTGATTGAAGTCTTGACCACCAATGTCGATAATGGATACATTCTTAAATTATCATATAGTACTTTTTTTTTTCCTTTTGGTTTATGGGTCTATGAATTTTTAGCACATTTATCAATTTGTATGACTGTCACCACAGTCAAGGTACAGAACAGCTTTGTTACCCCAAAAAACTCTCTCATGTCATCCCTTTATAGATACGATTTTGAGCTGTGGGTATTGAGTGATATTTAATCTCCTTTAAATGTTTTTTTTTTTTAAATTTCCTTTCAGTTTTTCTTGTGTGAAAAATGAACTTTTGCCTAGTCATCCTCTTGAATTATCAGAAAAAAATGTAAGTATATTATTGTGTCCTTACTTTTATCTTCCAATAGATAAATACTTTTAGTAATATTGGTTTCATTTTATTAAAGCAATTTTGGTACTGAGGATTTGCCCATGAAGAATATGGGGCCTTATTTTCAAACCCCTTGTAGGATAGACTTAAAAATTATACTACTCTTCTGAAGCTCCCTTTCTATGCATCCTTCCCTGCCTTTTTAATGTATATCTCCAAAGGGTGATCCACTTCTCCATTCCTCTCACAGGCATTTTCTCTTTTAATAATGCTGTTTCTTTTATATTTTTTCCTGCCATTTTTGCTCTTGACTTGCAAGTTCATATCTCTAGTTTTGACCTCTTTCTCAAGTCCTGCATTTCCGAGTTACTGTAGGACACAGCCACTAGGCACAGTAGGTACTTCGATGAATATGACGTAATCCCCATCCTTCAATAACTTAAAATTTAATGAGGAAGACAAGCAGTGGGTAGGAGAAGACTTCGTAAAATGCTAGAGAAGACCAAGGATGGGACAGTCACCTGTGCTTAGGGCTTTTTTGGAAGGCGTTATAGAAGAGGAGGGACTTTTGAAGAGTTTTAGATCAGAAAGTTTACTCCTAAAGAGAGGATAGCATGTATACATGTCCAAAACACAACTTAATGGATTCTTAAATAAACATTTAGAGGAAGAAGAAAAAAGTTTCTGACTACTTGGGGAAGGCGATGCAGTCATTAGGTGACAGAAAACTGGTCTGTATTTTTTGTTTGTTTCTTTCTTTTACTTTCTAGTAAGAGGATAGATCTTCCTATAAGAAAGAGTAGATCAAAATGTAATTGTGAAATTGAAGTTCAAATTAGATGAGAAAAATAAAAAAGTTCCTAGTCGATTTAAGTGAATTCAGGTTTCAGGTGCAGAAGTTGACAACCCAGAGTATACTTAAAAGTATGTAAGTATGATTATAAAAGCACAGTTGATCATCTTTGAGAACTAATGGGAGAAATGATCATTGCTTGTAGATGGATACATATTCCACTTTTGTATAAAGGATCTTACTGAAAAATAAGATTGTCTGTGATAATACTGATCGCTGGAACCATTTCTTACGTGAACTGTTGAGTGAGCTGTGAGCATTTAATAAAGTTTAAGCGGTGATCGTCAGCATCTGAATGAACTCCGCAAATTAATTTTAGTTCATTCTTTTACTAAATTGCCAAATAGGTCAGTCAAGGGATCAAATTACCTGACAAGGGATAAGATTGAGGATTATATGGTGGATTATGAACCTAGTGAAAGTAGTGTGGGGTAAAATATATGAGGCTGATAACTGCCCAGAGAACAGTGATTAAAGAATAGTCAATTTGGAGGGAATATTTCGATAGGGCTTTTTGGCCTCTGTCTACATCTTAGGTACTCAGATGGACACATAGGAGGGATAACTGTTTTTCAAGGACTTGTGGGCAACCAAAGAAAGAATGTATATCAGGTTTTTGGAAAAAAGGTTGAGAAGGATAGTTCATTCTGATGAATAATTGAACTATATCATGATGATAAAATAGACCAAAGTCTAGACCAAAATTTAAGAAAAACATTTATAGAGGTGAGTGTGAAGTTCTGCATTTGGATTCGAAAAATGAATTCTACACCTTTGGGCAGGGTAAAGTGACTTGCTGTGTAAAACTTGACTATTTTAATTGGCTGTATACTCAGTATAAGCCAGTAGATTACATTAGTTACTAAAACGAAAGGTTAATGCAGTCTTGGACTTTGTTAATAAGATGGGGCTCAAATCAAGGGAGATTATTTTATTTTCCTGTGTATTAGTCTGGCTATTAGATTTGGAATATTGCTTTAGTTCTAAGGAGTACATGTTAAGAGAAACTGACAAATCTGAGTGAGACTGGCCGGAACTGTGAAGAATCTAGAAACTTCAGAGATCTTTTTGAGACTTGACTTATATCTACTGTGTCTCTTCTTTAATCATTTAGCCAGCTAATGGCAGTCTCACTCTTTATGTGACACTTACTATTATAAATCCTTTAGCATGGATTGTGTAGTTGAACTATTTGGGCATTCCACTTTGCTAAGTAAACTTGGGGCATATTGTTTGATTTTCTTTAAGCCTTAGTCTTCTCATCTGGAGTTAGTAATAGCCCATCCTTGGCATATTGCTGGCCTCTAGTAGCTCTGCATGATTGGGAGCTTGAGTGGTGATAGTAAGGGAAGATGACCATCATCATTTGTACCAGTGGTTCTCAACTAGGGGAGGATCGTCCTCCTGCCGCCTACGAGGGAACAGTTGGCAAAGTCTGAGGACATTTTAGGTTGTCACCAGTGGTGCGGTGGGGGTGGGGAGATGTAATACTGGCATCTATTGGGTAGAGGCCAGGGATGCTGCCAAACATCCTACAGTGCCCAGGACAGCCCGCCACAGTGAAGAATTATCTGGCCCAAGAAATCAATAGTGTGGAGGGTTGAGAAGCCCTGATCTATACATCATGTCTTCCAAACTGGATTATGGTCTTCTCCAAGGTAGACTGTTCAGTTTTGTTGTGTTGTGTGTTGCCATAGAGCCTAATTTTGTACACGGTTGCTAACTTAACATGTTGATTGATAATTATAGTATTAATATCACATTACAAGATGGCTGTATTCATCAAAATTTACGTACATTGAATTTTGAATTTTTATACATAAAATTACATTTACTGCTGGGTGTGGTGGGGTGTGCCTGTAGTCCCAGCTGCGTGGGAGGCTGAGGCAGAAGATTGCTTGGGCCTGGTAATTCCAGGCTATAGTGCTCTATGATCGTGCCTGTGAATAGCCACTGCGCTCCAGCCACATAGCAAGACCTGTCTCTTAAAATAAAATTGTATTATGAGGATAGACCAATATTTAAAGCAAACCCTTCACTTAGAACTTCACATCATATACCCATAATAAAATACTGCAGGTTTTCCCTAAGGACCATCTGTCAAAATTTGCTATGTCAAGCTAAAGTAATTAAAAAGCATTTTGATAGTCACCTTACTTTCAAACTTCATCGTCGTATCCCAAGTAGGTGCTAATCTCTCAATATATTTTTGATTAAAATTACCTTTTTTATTACTGTCAGAAGACAATGTTATCAAGAGAGTAGCATATAATAAAAAATAATGACAAGAAGTGACTTAACCTCATTATAATCACCTGAGCTCAGACAAATCTTTGTTACAGTCTGTTTGCATATCACATTCACTATCCTTAGGAGCCATTTTTGGAAACTGTTTTAGAATCCATGAGTCAAGTTGATTCATTTTGCCTGAAATACATTAAGTTATGGTCAAAGTTCCCGAAGTGTAATGTCAGTACTTAGTAAAAGTATGATTCCAGGAAAAAAAATTACTATTACCCAATACAAATTGAATAAACTTTTGAGAGATGTTTGTTTTTCCCCGAGGCAAATGCCAAAAATAAGTGGAGTTTATAGTTTAATTAACGGGATGAGTTAGTGGTTGGATTATTTCTTTTGCTGAATTCTTTTAAATATATACCTTCACACTTAGAAGTTAACTATTTTTGTCAGTGCATGTGACATTTTCTGGATCTCAAATTATGCCTTTGCTAGTTTTGCAGTACTTTTAATCAAAAGCACTAAAATATGATTATGTATTGTAAATGTACTCTTGAAATAGGAGACACATTTCTTAATTTATTATGTTTATAAATTTGGAATTTTGGTAGTAATTTTACACTCGTAAAACTACACCTACATGCTAAATAAAATATAGACATATGTGGTCTAAACTTTATCAGAAAAAATTACTAGAAATACTTAGTTTTTATTGCAGGTATGGATATTAAAATTCTTTGTCTAACTATTGTGTTATATATATGCCACTTGCTAATTATTTAGAAAGCAGAGTATTGAGTGTAATGTTTAAAATTACATTGTCTGTTGTAGTTCCAGCTCAACCAAGATAAAATGAATTTTTCCACACTGAGAAACATTCAGGGTCTATTTGCTCCACTAAAATTACAGATGGAATTCAAGGCAGTGCAGCAGGTGAGTTGATGGATCTCTGTTACATATGTGTCGATATCATTCATGAGGACTCTTCTGTTTTCATAACAGCTATTTATACCTTATCTACCTTACAATCTATTCTACTTCCCTCTCCCTTTTTAGGATATGACCTTGATTTCTACTTCATAGAGGGAAAAAAGAAGTCATTAAATGGAAAACTTCAAATTACGGGCTTGGTGTCTGAAAACTAACCGCATCTGCTTTCATGTTTTTCTGGTTTTTTGTTTTGTTTTGTTTTGTTTTTTAAGGGATTATATTGAATTTGAGATCCCTGTAAGAATATCCAAGTGGAGGTGTCAAGTATACAATTTGTATATAGTTGGATATACCTGTTGCTAAGGAATAAGTACTTGGAAAATATCCTTCCAGTTTTTTAAGAACTGCCCTCCTACCTGTGCTTTGGATAATATCCTGTTATATTCAGGAAAATCCCTTTATCAATGATCCTTTCTAAAGCTGGTATCTTCAACCTCTCTGCTTGCCTTGTCTCAGCAGTAGCATTTTAACCTCTGTTGTCTTTTAAAACAAAAAAAAAATTGTATCAATTTCAAATTCCTTTATAGTAACTTGTCTCTCATTGAGTGTGCTTTTGCTTCTTGAAAAGTTGTCGACATTTGCTTTCTGTACTCCTTTCCCTCCTATTTATTTAACCCACTATTTCTGTCTCCCATGACACCAATGAAGCTGCTCCTGAACAACGTGGACATTTTTACCTTTACTTTACTTGATCTCCCTGTAGTATTTGACACTAATAATGGCTTCTTCCTCTTTCCCTTGGCTTTTACTTTTTTACTTTGTATTTATTTTTTTGAGACGGTCTCATTCTGTCATCCAGGCTGGAGTGCAGTGGTACAATTATAGCTCACTGCAGCCTCGAACTCATGGGCTCAAGCAATCCTCTTGCCTCAGTCTCCTGAGTAGCAGGGACTACAGTCACACGCTACCTTGCCTGGCTAGTTTTTAACATTATTATTATTATTTGTAGAAACGGGCTCTTGCTACGTTGCCTAGGCTGGTCTTAAAGTCCTGGCCTCAAGCTATCCTCCCACCTCCTTGGCTTTTAGAACACCACACTTTCCTGATGTCCTTCTTTCTGAATCCTTATTCTCAGGTGTCTCTGTGTAGGTTCCATTTGTTTTGTCTGTTTCCTAAAATGCCAGTTTTGTTAGTGCCCCATCTCTAGTCCTTTCCTCACCCTGTTTCCTACTTGTGGCTTTAGTTATCAATTATATGTTGATTCCAAGTGGGCCTGGTGCCTCAAGCCTGTGATCCCAGCACTTTGGGAGGCCAAGGTGGGTGGACCGCTCGAGCTCAGGCCTTCAAGACTAGCCTGGGCAACATGGCGAAACCCCATCTCTACCAAAAATAATAGAACAAATGTGCCAGCCTTGGTGGTGCACACCTATAGTCCCAGCTGCTCAGGCAGCTGAGGTGGGAGGATCATTTGAGCCCAAGAGTTGGAGGTTGCAGTGAGCTGAGATCGTGCCACTGCACTACAGCCTGGGTGACAGGGTGAGACTCCATCTCAAAACATAAAATATGTTGATGACCCCCAAGTTACAATTTTCATTAGCGATAAACCTATAAACTTTTCCAATTGGAAGTCCCACAGGCATCTCCAGTTTTACATGGACAAGTACAGAATAACTCATAATCCCCCACATACTCCTTATCCCATATGAATAGGTTCTGCCTAAGGCAGAAATTAGATAATTAGCCTTGGTTATGTCACCTAGCACCCATCCTAACCTCCTCCCCTGTTCCCCGAAATCATTTATTCAGTTTATTACTTGCTCTCCCCACCATTGCTACTACGTTAGTTCTTGCCCCTGCCAGACTTCATCTGGATTACTGCAGCACTCATCCCTGCTGCCCCTCCAATCCTTGTTAACACTCTAGTCAGAATAATCTTTGTAAAACACAGATTTGATTATGTCACTCTCCTCACTTTACCCTCAAAGTAAAAATAAAACCCAGCGCCTTAGTGTGGCTCTGTCCATGAATTGGCTTCTTGCTTCCCACCACACTTCATATCCTCTTAAACGACTTGCAGTTTCCTAATTCATTAGGTTCTTTCACTGTTAGGCATTTGCACACATTTCTCCTACTGGTGTGGATTCCTTTCTCTGACCGAGCTAAATTGTCTTTTTCAATAAATTCTGTTGGCCATGGGGGGTGGCTGGCTCATGCCTGTAATCTCAGCACTTTGGGAGGCCGAGGCAGGGTGGATCACCTGAGGTCAAGAGTTTGAGACCAGCCTGACCAACATGTTGAAACCCCATCTCTACTAAAAGTACAAAAATCAGCTGGGCGTGGTGACACACACCCGTAATCCCAGCTACTCGGGAGGCTGAAGCAGGAGAATTGCTTGAACCCAGGAGGCAGAGGTTGCAGTGAGCCAGAATCACACCATTGCACTCCAGCCTGGGCGACAAGAGCAAAACTCCATCTCCAAAAAAAATAATAAGATAAATTCTGCTAATGCCATCAATTGTATTTGGCTAAGTCATTCTGGAAGCTACTTGTTTTCCAAAGATAAAGCTCTTAAAAAGCATGGTTTTAAGTCAGAGCAACCTAAGGCTGAATCTTGGCTTATCCATCTACTAGCCTTAAGAACTTGAGTAAGTTGGAGAACTTTCTGAACCTCAGATTTTTTAATTTAATGCAAAATAAGGAGAACAGTAAGAGTAGCATAGGATTATTCTGAAGGTTAAATGAAATTACGTTTGGCACAAAATTGTTAGCTTCCCTTTTTATTTTCCTCTTACTCAGATTTCAACTACAGATTGCTCAAATTTTGGACTTAAGTTTTTAATACAATTTGATCTAAATATCTTTGCCCAGAATTCTTTTTTTTTTCTTATCTCTATACTTTCACAGTTTTGGGTTGTCAAGATGTATGACAGCTGCCTGCTCCTCCCTGCTTTTGATGCATTCTTAGGACTGTACCTCTGATCTAACTACAAGACCCCTTGCTGTCTGGTTTAATTTACAGGTTCCTATTTTTGTTTCTTCCTCTTCCTCCTCTTTCCTCCCACTTCCTTTTTTTTTTTTTTTTTTGGTTTGACAATCTAGGGAAATTTTTCCACACTATAAAGATTTTAAATATCTCTATAGGACATTAGTAATTGAAAATAATATATTTAGTCTGGATACATTTTGTGGAGGGGGGAGAAATGTGAGAAACTGCCCTCTTAGATTCTAAAGGTGTGATTATTTTTAAAATGCTAATATCATTTAGTCAAAAACCACCTATTTTGGTAGTCTTTGGCAATATCTAAAATTATCTGTATTAGCTGGTTTGGTGACATGGACCTGTAATCCCAGTTTTAGTGGGAGGATCACTAGAGCCCAGGAGTTTGAGACCAGCCTAGGCAACCTATTGAGTTGGACTTTTCTTCAGGAATTTGACCATCCCACATATATCAGGAATGAGGCGTGATGTTAAGCTCTGGGATTTTGCATTTCATCACATGGTATGTGCCGTAGTTTTCCTGAGTAGAAGCAAAGCCTCAAAATACATGCATACCAGGTAGGATTATTAAGTGTTAATGAAAAGTATAATTTCAGTGTCTTTACAACTTAGTTTGTATCTAAAATATGAACTAGTGTTTTTTTCCCCTTGTTAAATTGATCTTTTATTTGGTTTTGTGAAATTTCAAACAAAGAATAAAGAACATGAAATTAGACTATGTATTCTGTCATTTTCCCCTAATTTTTTCTAATCTTGTCCCTTCATACTTTTCCCCAAAGGTTCAGCGTCTTCCATTTCTTTCAAGCTCAAATCTTTCATTGGATATTTTGAGGGGTAATGATGAGACTATTGGATTTGAGGATATTCTTAATGGTAAGTGTCATTCAGCACCTTTTTATGGAGCCGTTGTAATTTAAAAGGCAAACAACTGCAAAAAGAATAGGCAAAATTCTTGTCCTCATGGAAATTACAGCTGATTGGGTTAACTTTGTTTTTTCATTGCATTAAGATAAAATCTAATGGTAGTAACTATTCTTCAACTGTTTTTGAAAGTGAAGATTTGCTGGGTGCGGTGGCTCACGCGTAATCCCAGCACTCCAGCACTTTGGGAGGCCGGGGTGGGCAGATCACCTAAGGTCAGGTGTTTGAGACCAGCCTGGCCAACATGGTGAAACCCTTCTCTACTAAAAATATAAAAATTAGCCGGGCATGGTGGCAGGCACCTGTAATCCCAGATACTTGGGAGGCTGAGGTTGCAGTGAACCGAGATCGTGTCATGCACTCCAGCCTGGGTGACAGAGCAAGACTCCGTCTTAAAAAGAAAAAAAGGGAAAATTATTTATGAAATTCTAAGGGTATATAGTCATTTCAGTCTAGTAATGGTGGTTATTCACTTCATGTCCTGAGCTTCAAGCGTAATACGTCAGTCTAATATTCCTAGGATAACTTAAACAGTGATAATTATTACAGAATTCACATTGTTGGGATGCGACTGGTGGTGGTTTTGTTTGTTTAGTTTGATTTTAGGGTTTTTATGACTAGCATTGTAAACAACTGGAAGATAAATCTTTCTTTAAAAAGTAGCCCCCAAAAAACGTAATTTTTGTACTTTTACAGGTGATAAATAGGAAAGAGGAATCTGTCTTTTTTTTTTTTTTTTTCCGAGATGGAGTCTTGCGCTGTCACCTGGCCGGAGTGCAGTGGCGCGGTCTCAGCTCACTGCAACCTCCGCCTCCCGGGTTCAAGCAATTCTCCTGCCTCAGCCTCCCGAGTAGCTGGGATTACAGGTGCCCACCACCACACTCAGCTAATTTTTTCGTTTTTAGTAGATACGGGGTTTCACCATGTTGGCCAGGCTGGTCTCGAACTCCGTACCTTGTGATCTGCCCGCCTTGGCCTCTCAAAGTGCTGGGATTACAGGTGTGAGCCACTGCACCTGGCCAAATCTGTTATTTTAAATAAAATTCCCTGAATAATTGTAAATGAATTTAAGTAAGAACAATACATGCAGCATCCTCTATTTTTTCTGGTCCTGAGGAAGATAAATAAATACAATCCTGTCCAATGCTGCCTCTGCTCACTATGCCCCAACAGTGCAGGAGAAACAAAAATATCCAACAGGATTAAGTTTTATTAGTTTTGCTTGGCTGCTGATGTCCGGTAAGGAAATGCTGTGGACATAACAGAAGTCTGGTGAGCCTCCTTTGAGAATCTTCCCTGAGGGAGCATTTTCGGTGCAGGAAAAGCTGGGGTTCTTAAGCTTTTACATTGAACTTAGACCTTATTTAAAACTACTAAGGTGACATAGTTCAGGTCTTTAGTTATAAAAGCATTCATTTAAAAATCTGCTTCCGTAATTCTGTATAAAGAAAGGGAGAGGGACTTAGGAACATTTATCTAGTCAGTCAAATATTATGTGTCAGGCACTGGGCTAGGCTCTGAATATACAACTGTGAACAAAACAAATACCTGTGCTTTCAAATGGAGATAAACACATTAACACAAATACACAATTTGATAATCCTAGGAATAAAAAGGATGTTTTTGGGTTGGGAGGGCACATACCTCTGGGAATATAACACGTAAGTTGATTCCTGAAAGAAACATGAAATCATTGACCTAGAAGTAGAGGGAGAATATTTCAGACAGAAGAGATCAGTATGTGCAGGGTCTGTAACCTGAGAACAGCTGAAGAGCTCTGAACAGTTTGAGATCTTACTCTACTTTCAAGCTAACTTGTTAACCTGCCATGAATTCACGAATGCTAGCAGAAGACAAGAGATTCCTAAAGGACAGTTTCTTACTCATAGCAGTAGTGTAGCCAGAGTATCAGCATTTCTTTTGGTTCCCTTAGCCCCGCTTCCTATGGGGCAGCTAAGAAGAGGGTAAGGTGATACCTTGTACATAGAGTGTGTTATGTTAGAGGAAAGGAACTCCAAGTTCAGGCCACCTCAGCCTTACAACTGGCAGTCAACCTGCTTGTCCTGTGCTTCTTTGTCTTCTGAAGTGAAACGACTTTGGAAAGATAGCCTAGAACAAAGGCAGTTTAGTGCGTCTGCTCCCAGCTTGCAGAATGGAGAGACCAATTGAGAACTGTCTCCCAGCACTTTAAGAAGGCCCGTGTAGCTGACATGTTTTGAGTAAAGTAGAGAATAGAATAAGGTTGAGATCAGAAAGCTAAGCAAGGAACAGATGAACCAGGGCCTACAGACCACGAAAAGAAGTTTTAGAATTTCTTCAGAATGCAGCAGCAGGCCATTGAGCAGTTTTAAGTAAGGATGTAATGTGATGGAATTACATGTTTAAAAAGGTCACTAGCGGCCGGGCATGGTGGCTCATGCCTGTAATCCCAACACTTTGGGAGGCTGAGGTGGGCGGATCATGAGGTCAGGAGATCTAGACCATCCTGGCGAACACAGTGAAACCCTGTCTCTACTAAAAATACAAAAAAATTAGCCGGGCATGGTGGCGGGTGCCTGTAGTCCCAGCTACTTGGGAGGCTGAGGCAGGAGAATGGCGTGAACCCAGGAGGCGGTGGAGCTTGCAGTGAGCAGAGATTGCGTCACTGTTCTCCAGCCTGGGTGACAGAGTAAGACTCCATCTCAAAAAAAAAAAAAGGTCACTAACTGGCCAGGTGTGGTGGCTCACATCCATAATCCCAGCACTTTGGGAGGCAGAGGTGGGAGGATCAGTTTAGCCGAGGAGTTTGAGACCAGCCTGGGTAAGATGAGACCCTGTCTCTACAAAAATGTTTTTAAAAATTAATTGGGCATAGTGGTGTGTGGCTGTAGTCCCAGGTACTCGGGAGGCTGAGGCAGGAGTATCACTTGAGCCCAGGAATTTGAGGCCGCAGTGAGCAGTGATCATACCAGTGTACTCTCTAGCCTGGGCGACAGAGTGAGACCCTGTCTCAAAAAAATAAAAAATAAGCCACTTGCTATCTTGTGGGCATCTTTTAAAATTCATTCTTTGTGTCTCTCTAAGGTAGCTATTAGGAAAAATCACCTGTTTGCAAGGTAGATGATTTTTTTTTTTTTTTTAGACAGAGTCTTGCTCTGTCACCCAGGCTGGAGTGCAGTGGCATGATCTCGACTCACTGCAACCTCCAACCTCCCGGGTTCAAGCAATTCTCCTGCCTCAGCCTCCCAAGTAGCTGGGATTACAGGTGCGCACCACCACGCCTGCCTGATTTTGTATTTTAGTAGAGGCAGGGTTTCACCATCTTGGTCAGGCTGGTCTCAAACTCCTGACCTCTGGTAGTCCACCCACCTCAGCCTCCCAAAGTGCTGGGATTCCAGGCGTGAGCCACCACGCCCGGCCAGGTAGATGATTTTTATCACAGTGAGACCACTGTATTTGGGCTAGTTTTTTTCTTGTGGGAACTGTGACTGCATAATATATGGATAACTTAGGGCTTCACCTTAGGGACCTGAATGAGCTGTTCCTTTCTGCTTCAAATAGTTTACGCTCATTTTTCAGATCCCAACCTAAGTATCACTTTTTCAGAGAGTCCTCTGTTAACTACTGTTAGTCTGTTCTTGCATTGCTGTAAAGAAATACCTGAAGCTGGGTAATTTATAAAGAAAATTTAATTTGGCTTATGGTTCCTCAGGCTGTACAGGAAGCATAGTGCTGCTATCTGCTTCTGGTAAGGGCCTCAGGAATCTTACCACCGTGGCAGAAGACAAAGGGGGAGCCAGTGAATTATATGGCAAGAAGGAGCAAGAGAGTGAGAGGGGGCTGCCACACAGCTTTAAACAGCCGAACTTGTGTGAACTCAGAGCAAGAACTCACTTATCCAGGGGGGTGGAGCTAAACCATTCATGAGGTATTCAACGCCGTGATCCAGTTACCTCTCTCCAGGGCCCGCCTTCAACACTGGGAATCACATTTCAACGTGAGATTTGGAGGGGACAAATATCCAAACCATATCAACTACCTAATCTAAAGTAGTCCCTGCCGTGTCACCCTACCTTATATTAATTCTTTGCATAACACTTGTCTGATATTTTTCTTATTTATTATATGTCCAACTTAAATATACATGTCAGGAGAGCTGGAGATTTTTTCTTGTTAACTGTTGTGTTCCCAGTACCTGATAGGGTGCTTGATCCATAGTTAAAGGTCTTGACCACATTCGTACCACCTTTGACACAAAACACAGTGTTAAGTCTGTAATCAGAGGGTAGCTTGTTAATCTAAATACTTTGTAAAGACTATAACAGTATTGGAGATGATGGCGTTTTTGCCTGCTTATCAGTGAAGTACTTAGGCAAGTTAATGCTGTACATTTTACAAGATTAGGAAGGACATATAAGGACACTAGTAAAATAAAAAATGTACTTTTTCTTAATGCTGGAAGGGGACTTTCATGTACTCTAATCCCCTAACTGGAATATGAGTAAATGGAAGCTCACAGAGGCTCAGTCCTCACTCAGAGTCTCATGGCGAGCTCTTGGTACAACAGGTGCAAAACCCGTCTCCTGCCAGTGCCTTGCTTACATGATGTGCTGTCTTTTGGTGCAAGTGATTTATTTAATAAATGCATTTTATTAAAGAAGCTTTAAAAAGCATGGTGTGGAAGAAAGTTTAGTTACATAAATGAGTATATTCTTTGTGCAAAAATTTGAAATATTACCATTGAAACTTAGATTTTCTGTAATGACCCTCAATCCCATTTTTCTTGTTCCCTAATTACCTACTGTTTTAGTTTGGTTTAGTCTGTCCTTCCAGACTGTTCTACGTGTCTTTCTACAAATACTAACATATATAGTCAAAAAATAGTTGGCATTGCCTTTTTTTTTAAGTTGAGGTTTTGAGTGCCTTTTATATACACAGCAATTTATTAATCTCCAGTCTCTTAGGAGATCCAGTGAGGAAACATCCACATTGGTTTCACTGAACTGTTTGTTCCTCTTGGTAGCCGTCATTATTATGTGCAGGGTTATTCATTCTTACAAAGTGATTTTATGATTTAGTTCATTAGGTTTTTATTCTGTTTCTAGTCCTATGTTGAGGAGTAGAGGACAAAGAAAAGCTCTGTCTTTAGGAAGCTTACTCTTGGTAATAATTTTAAAAGTTCTTTTAGGTTTATAAACACAGTTAAAATAAGACTTTTGTCTGACTCATCTGTAAACATAAAAGTGACGATTTTTAAAGGTTTTCTTTTTTAAGAATTCTTACTTACATTTGTGTGTATACAACAGATCAGAAGATGATACAGATAAAACGTTGTTGTGAATTAAGAGATTGTTTCCAGTCATGTGGGAAGCCACTGGAAAACTTAAGAACTTTGAAAAAAGAAAACTTTGTCAATCTTTTTTAAATCTGCTATTTTGAGATATTATTGGCATACAGTAGAGTACACCTGTTTTTCAGTGAACAGTTCTGTGAGTTTTAATCAACATAGAGCCAGATCTCCTAAATAAAGGAGTAAAATGTTTTCATTGCCTCACAAAGTTCTCTTGGTCCCTTTGCAGTCAGTCACCCCACTCCAGCCCCAGGCAGTCACTGGTTTGTTTTCTATAACTTTAGGTTAGTTTTGACTGTTCTGGATTCTCATGTAAGCGGAATCATTGAATTTATCTCTTTTTTGAGAGTCTTTTAAAATGTTTGTTTTTGTTTGCTTTCAGATCCATCACAAAGTGAAGTCATGGGAGAGCCACACTTGATGGTGGAATATAAACTCGGTTTACTGTAGTAGTGTGCTGTTCACGGAAACTGAGGGCTGCATCTTGTTTATAGTCGTCTTTGTACTGTAATTTGATGTACACAACATTAAAAGTACTGACACCTGAGAATTTCTGCTCAAGTAGCATCAGTGATCATTTAAAATTTGGGGACATCTTTGGTTTACAGCCATGTGACAATTAAAAGCACTAAAGGGGGATCATGTTAAAGCTCTTAAATTATATTAAAACAATAGCCTTTGTCTTTAAAAAAAATGTTGCTCATGAATATTATAAAATGATCTACAGGTTTCAATTCAACCTGCTTTCTAAGTTTTCTGTAAACTTAGTTTTGAATAAGCATAAGCATTTGAGTCTGTAAACTTTGTAGTAGCATCTTTCAGAATAAACATTTTTAATTGATTTCAGTGGCAACTCTTCAAATTGAGTACAATATGAGATATATCAGTATCGTCCATTAACACTCATAAGAATAACATTTACTGTCTCAGTGCTATTTTAGGGTTATAGCTATTCTTTGATTCAGGGTTGAAAAGTAGAAGTTCCAAAGGTTTGATTTTGGTCTGGTCTTTAAGTGAAAAATTAAAGCAACCGGTAGATGTAGGTCAAACTTTTACTTCATAGACTTACTATGTAATTACCAAGCAACGCTGTTCAAGAAAAGTGAAACTCATTTTTTCTTGTTGTTAATTTATATATTACAAGACACCATAAGATGTTCTGTATGAAGTTGGTATATACAAATTTACATTTTTAGAACATTAGTGAATGGGTCGTCTTTTACAATTAAAAGTATATTTTGATTATCAATTTCTTGGGAGCATCTTTGATTAGATAAATTACTGATTTGAAACATTTGGCAATGTCTAGAGACATTTTTGGAGTCACAACTTTGGGGGTGGGCTGCTACTGGCATCTAGTGGGTAGAAGCCAGGAATACAGCTAAAGATCCTATAATGCATGGAACATCAGCATCAATTTATGGTCTTGTAACTAGTTGAAGACACTAAAGGGAAATGAATTTAAAACTCCCAGTTTATATTTGTACAGTAGCATTCTATGTCTTTAAAAAAACGTAGACACTCTAAAACCATCTACATACAGAGTTTGCACTCTGCAACCAATATCATTTGGTTCAAAATGTCAGTAGTTGCTAAAGTTGACAAACCTTGAGAAAAGTCAAGTACACTTAAAAAAATTTTTTTTGAGAGAAGGTCTCACTGTCGCCCAGGCTGGAGTACAGTGGCGAGATCATGGTTCACTGCAGCTGAGACTGACCAGGCTCAAGCAATTCTCCCACTTCAGCCTCCCAAGTAGCTGGGAGTACAGGGGTGTACCTCCACGCCTGGCTAATTTTTTATTCTTTTATAGAGACGGAGTCTCGCTATATATTGCCCAGACAGGTTTTGAACTCCTGGCCTCTAGTGATCCTCCTGCCTCAGCCTCCGCAAAGTGCTGGGATTACAGGCATGAGCCATTGCACCTGGCCAAGTACACATTTTAAAAATAGATACCTTGCTCTTGACTATTGAGATTAGGTTTAGAATCGTCTTTGCTAACACAGTGTTCTCCAGCCCACTACACTTAATAAGCAAATGTAGAAATAATAAAGGTTCACTAATTGCTTCTACGTGTATTCTCTTTAATAATAAGGAAGTTGGAGGTTTCTTCTGTACCTTAAACCTAGGAATGATAGATACCCTTCCTGACCAGTAGAGGGTACTATGTTTAAGAGTGTAGTTTAAATGGAAAATGTGAGGCTTTAATATAGAACTTGGTAATCATGAATAACACTATCTTTTTGCCTCCTCTCTCCTCTTTTAACCTTTGTGTTTATATCAGTGGCCCTCACCCCTGGATGCTTATAGGAATCAGCTGGGAATCTTTTGAAGAAATTTTAGTGTCAGGATTTTAATCTCATAAGTTCCAGTAGGACTAGTCTGAGGTGGATCCCAGGAAGTATATTTTTTGAAAGTGCTCCACGTTGAGAACCTTTTATATGCTTTATTCCCTTTCTCTGCTTGCTCTGCCTTTGTGTTAGTGACAATTGCGAATTGCAATTCCCAGGCTGTGACCTGTGCTTCTGACCGACTGGTTGTAAATTGGGGTTCCCACTGTCCCTCTTCTTGGGTTCCATAATTTGCTAGGGCAGCTCATAGAACTCAGGGGAACACTTTACTTACATTTATCCTTTTATTATAAAAGATATTGCAAGGGCTACAGATGAACAACCAGATGGAAGTGATGCATAGGGCAAGGTAAGGGGGAAGGTGCTAGGAGCTTCTATGCCCTCTCCCGGCACACCACGCTCCAGACACCTCCATGTGTTTACCAACCTGAAAATTCAGGGGTTTTGATGGAAGCCTCATCTTGTAGGTATGATCAGTTACGAACTTATTCTCCAATCCCTCTTGCCTTCCTAGACGATGAGGTTGCAGTTCCAAGTGAGGCTGCAGATTCCAAGCTCCTAGTCATGATATCACAGTCCTTGGTTAAAATGTATTGATACTAAGCTAAAAGAAGCATACCTAATGGGAGTACAATCTAGTTTTCTATTAAGCCTTTAATATATATGAGAACAAGGGAGTTGGCGGGTATGACCATCTGTAAGTGTTGGGGGTTTGGTGTATAATTGAACACTGGCACACCACAGGATGGCTCCTTCACTAGACACAACTTTTCACTATACAAAATGTAAATAATAGGCTTATTACTTTTTTTAAATTTTGCCCTTTACTGTGGGTGTTATCCCTTTTTCTGGAGGACAGGGAATGCAGCTCAGTGCTCTTCCACATTTTGTTATTCCTTTGTTTAGTGTATTTTTTAGAGATGAGGTCTTGCTATGTTTCCAAGGCTGGAGTGCATTGGGTATTCACAGGCATGATTATAGCTCACCGAAGCCTCGAACTCCTGGGCTCAAATGCTCCTCCTGCCTTACCTTCCTGAGTAGCTGGGACTACAGGTGTACGCCACCATGCCCCCAGCTTGTTTTTCCTTTAAATGCAGACATTCAAGAATGAGAAAAACGATCTGAACAAGTGCTTTTGAAAAATGGAAGAACTATGTGAAATATAATCTTTCATTGGATTCTACAGTTGGATAAATGTGTTTATTCAGATACATGAAATGTAAGTTAAATATAAGTTAAAATCAATTCATCTCTTAAAAAGTGTGGTCAAAGTCAAATTTAACCAAATTTTGACCTGCTATTCCAATAAAACAAAATAAAAAATGCTGTTACACTTAGTTGGACATACTTTCCTCATGACTTCAAAATTGAAATTCAAGTTCCTTCATATATAAGAAATGCTTCATTAAGAACCTACACTTAGGCCAAGAGCGGTGGCTAAAGCCTGTAATCCCAGCACTTTGGGAGGCCGAGGCGGGCGGATCACGAGGTCAGGAGATCGAGACCATCCTGGCTAACACGGTGAAACCCCGTCTCTACTAAAAATACAAGAAAATTAGCCGGGCGTGGTGGCGGGCGCCTATAGTTCCAGCTACTCCGGAGGCTGAGGCAGGAGAATGGCGTGAACCCGGGGGGCGGAGCTTGCAGTGAACCCAGATCGCCCCACTGCACTCCAGCCTGGGCCACAGAGCAAGACTCTGTCTCAAAAAAAAAGAACCTATACTTAATATGTTATAGATCTTTAAATATTCCTAAAGAATGAAAATATACTATTAGTTTGCTTTTGTTTTTGTTTGTTGTTGTTGTTTTTTGAGACAGAGTCTCACTCTGTAGCCGCCAGTTGGAGTGCAGTGGCACAATCTCAGGCTCACGCAGACTCTGCCCTCCCGAGGTTCAAGTCAGTTCTCTGCCTCGCCTCCCAAGTACTGTTTTTTTTGGTTTGTTTGGTTGTTTTTGTTTTCCAGATTTTGAAAAAGTTTAATGGACTTTAAACTTTTTTTTCTTTTTTTTTTTGCGACCTGAGTCCGCGCTGTTACCCAGGGCTGGAGTCAGTGGCGTGATCTGGCTCATCAACCTTCTGCTTCCCGGGTTCAGCGATCTCCTGCTCTGCTCCTGAGTAGGGGATACAGGCACACGCCACAAGCCGCCGGCTGTATTTTTGTATTTTTTGCGTACAGATGGGGTTCACACTGTTGGTTAGGTAGTCTCGAACTCCTGACCTTCGTGTGATCTGCCCGCCTCTGCCTTCCAAGTGCTGGGATTACAGGTGTGAACCACTGGTGCCCAGCCAAGCTTTAAAAACTTTTAAAATAAAATTAAGTTTTGAAAGCTTAGGGTTTGCTTCCAGATTTGAAGTTACTTCTGGAGCCAGTAGACCTGCTTTGTCAGCTATACTTTGCTTTTTGCTGCTTTTCAGTGTCTTGGCTTAATGGAGACAGGAAAAAGCTATATTGTTCAGCACTGTGACAAAATGGAGGTCACGGAGGATGTGGCTTTGGGTCAGTGGAGGATCAGGTAGAACTCTGCTTTGACTTTTGCCACACTTTTGGAGAGATGAATTGATTTTAACTCAAGACTTTTGTATTTTTAAAATTTCAAAGTCAGAGAAAATCTGGAAGAATAATACCAAAAGCACCCATATAACCTTCATGTCTCTAATATATTGTCTTATTTCCTCATGAGTAAATTCAGGAGAAACATTTTTGTCAGGACATCCACGGCGGTGGCGATGTCTGCTTCTTAACTGCAGCTCATCAGGAGTCATACAATGTCAGGGTGTGCCACTTGCTGGTGATGCCACGTTTGATCACCTGGTTAATGCGTGATGGCTTTCAGAGATCTTTGTTGTAAAAGTACAGTATTCTTTTTGTCATCAATAAGTAGTCTGTGAAGCAATAATTTGAGACCTTGTGTATATCCTGTTCCCTAAGAACTTTTCACTGAGGTTTTAGTATTCATGGAAAATCTTTGCCCAAATCATTTATAACACGGTCCTGGGGGTCAAAAGAGGGCTACAAAATCGTGACATTCTTTTTCTACTTGTTTTGGCTGACCAGTTGTAAAGCAGAGTTTCCCCACATTTCTCTTTCTCTCCTCAAGTGTCCTTATGCACTCACGGATTCTTCTGAAATGCTTTAGAGCCCATTTCTACACAGTACCCTTTTGATGGCCTAAACCTAACCATTTTATTGAACAGGCCTTCAATTTGAAAATGACTGGTGCCAAAATGTTTAATTTTAGAATTTTTCATTAATGTTATTTCAGAGTATTGAATATAATTTGAGATATTTTTGTTATCATAATCATAGACATTATGGCCAAAGAAATACCATGTTGGCCATAAAGGGAGCAACTGCTCACCCTCACACTACCAGTGTTCTGCCAGATCACAGCATAAGCAAGTCCAGAGTGAGATCACGGGGTGGTGGTTCTTGCCCCATTCTGTGTGGTAGCCTTGAAGTAGGCATTAGGGTATGAAAATTTAAGAGAGCTGGGCAT